ACCTGTACCACGAGTCTATTAAATCTGCCTGGACACGACCACTTGACAAAAGCACACAACTAGGTAAAGCTCAGTGCACAATATATGATTTTGACAAATTTCTGGGATTGTAAGGGATTTCTTTTGTCTTAGGGTAAAATCGTGAGTCTTAGATCATCTAGTGTCACATGTTCACTGATGGGCAATTAATGGTCTTTGTGATGCTACAATGTGACCGCACCTAAGGCTCGCATGCACTGAATAATCAGTACGTGGTTTCTGCAAGTCTTAATTGGCCTTTCCATAAATGAAGACCTAAGAAGATCATAAATCAGAGCAGAAAGTCTTAAAGGGATAGTTCACTCAATAATGAAAATTGTCATTAATTACTCACCCTCATCTCATTCCAATCCTGTAAGACCTTTGTTTATCTTCGGAACACAAAGTAAGATATTTTTGATGAAATCCAAGAGCTTTCTGACCCTGCATAGACAGCAGTGCAACTACCACATTGAAGTCCCAGAAAGGTAGTAAGGAGGATATCATTAAAATAGTTCATGTTACATAAGTGGTTCAACCTTAATTTTACAAAGCTACGAGAATACTTTTTGTGTGCAAAGAAAACAAAAATAACGACTTTATTAAATAATTCTACTCTGCGTTACCATCTGCCGCCATTCATGAGAGTACCATGACGGATGCGAGTAGAGAAGAGTTGTTGAACACTGTACATGTCGCACAATCTGCCTTGTATCTCTTTGTGAGATCATTGTGGTTGGTAGATGCACTGGGGACCTGATTATAGCACTTAAAACCTGGAAAAGTCATGATATGTCACATTTAAAGGTTTCGAAAAATTGTTGAGTAAATAGCAGGCTTAATAGGTAAGATATAATGATTATTACTTGCCTTCAAATGCAGGCAAAAGCAAAATGTACCTTCACTGATTGTATTGCTTAGTCTTGTCTTTTTCTTCAATCAGTCTATCTTTTGACGGATGTATCCAACTGCCAGCTTAAACAGCCGCGGGACTTCTGCTGCCTCAGTACAGAATCTAAACAGGTGTTCTTTACAGTCTATTCTGTGATTAGCTTTATTCAAAAGTACCTTGCCTGAATCACACATTCATTTTGATCTGACCTCTTTTCTTTAGGATGATATGTGGGTGCTGGCCATGCAGTCTGTATTTGAGGAGACACTGCCACGTCCCAGTGTGGATACTATTCGAGGTGAGATTCTACCCAGCGCTTGGATACTTCAACCCAGCCAGCGTAACGGTCGAGAGTTAGTCACTGTCATCTACTTGTTACAAGTAAGATGGCTTGCCCTTGTATTCATTCCTTCATCGTGTATCAGTTTACTAAATTAGCATTTGCTAATTCCTCATTGTTTCCTGTGTGTCCCTCTATAGGTAGATTTGGGAAGCCCGTCCTTGGCTCCTAGACTGCTGAATACAGTGTCTAGAAAGCAAGCAGCAGTCATAGCAGACCTCGATTCTTTCTTCTCTTTATGACCAATCAGGTTACACATGTAGCAACAAGCACTTACACTAAACCCCTGAAGGTTTTTGCTAAGATTTGCACCTCATGTTTTTGCTCTTTACTTGATTCTTTTTCACATAGCACTGATGGTATGATTATATTGTGTAATACATTATCTTGCCTTATTTTATTTTGTCTTTATTGTTGTTATTAGATAACTTTGCCCCCATGTGCCAAAGTATTAATTATTGTAAAAAGATTATAAGTAAAAATCCCAAAGCTATTTTTTCATGTATGTATATAGTTACCACTTGATTATCATTTGATATAGACTAAACTATGCATAGCTCTGTTATTTGTAAGGAAGGATATTCATGTAAAAACAATCAACTGCATTACAGTATTCTTTTAATGCATAGCATTGTCTTAAGCTACTATCAGAAATAACTAGTATGTAAAACTTGAACTTGACATCAGCTGTAGAGACTTTTTAAACTTTACTCTGTAATATGCAGTACAGTGCCTTTCATAAATATGTCCAGTTCCTTTCTTTTTTTATGGGTTGTTTGCTGGTATTATAGTTTTCCAGCCATTTTCATTTTTGTTTGTGCAAATTTTTGTGCAATTTCTGTTGTAACTGCTTACACAATTTATGATAAGTTCTATATTGGCTGAAATGGGATAGATTGTCATAAAACTGTTATTGACTGCAGTGCTATTGCTGATATTGATATTTTCAGTATCAATATTTAAAATGTTATTTTCTTTTAAAGCCATTACATTTTAACATAGTGATCAAGAGGGCCTTTGCTCAAGCACTGTAGAATGATACAAGACCAGTGGTTTTATTTGTAACTTAGCTGATCTGTAAAACGTTGTTCCCCCTGAAACAAAAAAGTATACTATATAAATGAAGGATATTTCTTTTTTTTATTATATCACATTGTTTTAATATACTGTAAATGTCTTCTATAATATGCAATCTATTATCTAAATGTAAAATAATTCATCATTTATGTTTTAAAATGGTCTCTTTATTTTTGCAGTTTTTTATGTTTCTGTGGAAGAGCTTCCAAAATCTTAATGACTTTTAATTTATGAACCAGACCATGTTTTTATTAAATACATTTGCCATTTTTCATGTTTCTTGTTTTCAGTCTTTATTTTAGTATTTACAAGTATCTCACTTGGTTTTTTAAGTGCAAGGCCATGACCACATGGGGGACCAAATTAATTTGTAAGGGAAAGTGTCTAGCATATACATGTTTAAATGACTTTATGTAAATAACATATGAACTGTAATATCATATGTTTTGTATATAAAATATTAAGTATATATATATATACTGTATATTTTATATACAAAACATTATATTACAGTTCATATGTTATTTACATTATATATATATATATATATATATACACACACACATACATACATATAAGAGATGCAGAAATGTGAGATGAGAGAACAAAGGTGAAGTATATGATCAAAATTGGAATTATATTTGTACAAAAACATTTAATATTTTTGTACCGAGGTTCTATAAAACATTTAAGACAGGTTACTCTGTGATTCTAAACTACATTATTATGTACCGCCGTTACCATGACGATCATCTGAGCCAAAACGCGTTCTACATCAACAGAGTTTGCAGCTCCGAGGTGAGTGACCGTAAAGCCCCGTTCACACCAAGAACGATAACTATAAAGAAAACGATATTAGCGTCCACACCAGCGAACGATATCATCCGTTTATTCGAAGCGCACATGCGTCTGCCGCTTTAAATTCATGAGCGCGTTACAGCAGGATGGATTCTGATTGGCTGTCGATTTTTTTTTTATCGTTCATCAGCTGGGAAAAAATCGTTTTGAAAGTGATCGTTATCTTTATAGTTATCGTCCTTGGTGTGAACGGGCCTTAATTCTCCAACCGACAATAGGCTATTTGTAAAAGGCTATTTTTACTTTACATAAATTTATACTTTATTGTGTTTTGTATTAGTTTATAGTTTGTTTATCTGTAATTCTGTATATTCAGTATTTTTTAAATTTGGGAATCCCATTAACAAGTGGATTTAAAGACTGGCCTCAACAGGATATTTGCTGGTATGAAATCACTAAACTACATTTATAAGTGTAAGTAAGTTAAGTTGTTCAGATCTGTCTGGATTTTTAATCTTAAATACTTGACCGTGAACAGTAGCGTGAATAACTTGGTTACTTGTACGAAGCAGTAAGCCCAAAAGATGATGATTTCTCAGGCCATTAGTGGTGCGATGATGACCTCTGGTGGTGATCTGATGTAATTTAAACATAAATCCTATCCAAACAACAAGCCCAAAAAATGGTAAACAGGTGCGGTGAGTGATCAGGTAAGTATAATTTTAGCATTCCAATAAACAGAAATATGTATTAATTGTGGTGTCTGTTTGATTTTTACTACAGGACTGAAGGCCTAATAACATCAGAGCTGTTGGCTGTCGGGGCTTCAAGTTCAAATCCAGCCGTTTTTACTTTACATAAATTTATACTTTATTGTGTTTTGTATTAGTTTATAGTTTGTTTATCTGTAATTCTGTATATTCAGTATTTTTTAAATTTGGGAATCCCATTAACAAGTGGATTTAAAGACTGGCCTCAACAGGATATTTGCTGGTATGAAATCACTAAACTACATTTATAAGTGTAAGTAAGTTAAGTTGTTCAGATCTGTCTGGATTTTTAATCTTAAATACTTGACCGTGAACAGTAGCGTGAATAACTTGGTTACTTGAACGAAGCAGTAAGCCCAAAAGATGATGATTTCTCAGGCCATTAGTGGTGCGATGATGACCTCTGGTGGTGATCTGATGTAATTTAAACATAAATCCTATCCAAACAACAAGCCCAAAAAATGGTAAACAGGTGCGGTGAGTGATCAGGTAAGTATAATTTTAGCATTCCAATAAACAGAAATATGTATTAATTGTGGTGTCTGTTTGATTTTTACTACAGGACTGAAGGCCTAATAACATCAGAGCTGTTGGCTGTCGGGGACTCGGGTTCGATTCTGGCCTGAGTCTTTTCCCGAACACAATCCCCCTCATTCCCCCATTTACCTGTCTGTCGCTACTGTCCTATCCAAAAAATAAGACCAAAAAACAAGGCCACTGAAAAAAAAAGGTAAACAGGTGAGGTGAGTGATCAGGTAAGTATAATTTTAGCATTCAAATTAATCTAAACATGTAATAATTGTGGTGTCTCTTTATTCTTTATTACAGGACTGATGGCCTAATCACATCAGAGCTGTTGGCTGTCGGGGCTTCAAGTTCAAATCCAGCCGGAGTCATTTCCTGATCCCATTCCCCCTCTTTCCCCCACTGTGCTGTCTGTCTCTACTGTCCTATTCAAAAAATAAGGCCAATAACGCTGAATAAGGCAAAAAAAAAAAAAAAAAAGGTAAACATGTGCCTATAATGTATTTGTAGTCATTACGTAATGTGTTAATACTATAAGTGAATACAGTTGTTCGTAGTATTGTTAATTCCCAAGTAGATGAAGTATGATGACAAACTTTGATGTTGGCTTTTACAAAGATATATGTTTAAATGTTTTGTTGTCAAGATTGACAGAAAGAAAGTCAGATGAAAACAGAAAAACAAATGAAATTTCAACCAGGCCATATTAGACCACTTCAGACCCCATGTGACCTCATTACACTTAAAAGGAACCATCAGTTTAGTAAATTATATTTCTGACATAATAATTCAGATACGGTTTTAACATGTCCAGAAAATGTTGTAAAAGACTGCTAGCATGTTTCTAACACATTTTAGCATGTTGCTAGCATTTTTTAACACGTTGCTAGTATGTCCTAAGCAAGGCTTTGCATGGTTTCCTGAAAGCCTTTTAAGTAAATTCAAGAAAAAGATTATTAAAACTTGAACAGGGTAAAACATGTGGCTTTAACTTGTGTAGTTGTGATTGATTAAAATGACACATCCCTTTATTGAAATAAAAATATTATTTGCAAATATAATTCTAGGTTTTTAAAATATTTTTATTTTTCTTTACTCATTTAAATCCATTTAAACTCTTTATTTCTTTAATTCCTTACTTGAAATAAAAAGGATCAGTATCTGTGACAACATCACCAACCCAGGGTTATTTTGCATTGGAAAGTGTACATATAAAACTATAAATTATAGATTATATAACAAACATAGCTAGATTAAAGTAATACAGTAACTTGTAGCAAAATAATTTTAATAAATGTATCCAAATAAAGTAGTACAAAAAAAGATTGCTTCTCTAATCTTTTTGTATTCAGTCTATTGGTTTTCTTTTTATTTATTATACAATTAACAAAAGCAAAAAAGGCCTCTTAACACTAGCTTGCTCTATTCTTTTTCTGTTTTCTTTTTATTTATTATATGATTTAAAACAAAACCTTGCTACGTGTACTGCATTAAGCTAACTGAGACTTGTTAGAGCACTTGCATAGCATTGCTCTTTTGTTGATTTCTTCCATTGTCCTCATTTCTCATTTGTGGCTTTGGATAAAAGCGTCTGCTAAATGTAAATGTAAATAAATAAATATTCTACTTATAGGCTACACCTAGCCAAAAAACAACAACAACAACAAAAACGGTATAGTACGGTAAACAAAATGTATATAATATACTATTATTTTCCAGAGAATTAGAAAACCGCAAACAAGCAACAAGTGTTTAACGAATTTAAATTCCTTATCAATTAGTAGCGAATTGTAAATAATTGTTTTTTTTTATTTATGCAGGGCTTGTGATATTAGAGGCGGGCAGTGGAAGGGTGGGGAACGCCATTTAAAGTCAGTGACTCTTGACAGGAATGCGCCTCCTCTCCGCTCCGCTCCGCTGGTCTGCTTTATTTTTAACACTTTGGGTGGGTCAGACAGCGGCTGAGGAGAATGAGCGACCCTGCGCACCCCCTGCCCCTGCTGCAGCTCTCCCCCACCGTGACCTAGACCTCAGCGCCTCTCATGGGATTATTATTGCCCTTCAAATAACGGACTTTATTCTAAAGACATCGACAAAGAAGCGTGTCATTCTCCAGGACTGTTTTTCAGTTGTGTAGGTAAGTTTACTGTTACATTTGAAACTCATAGAGGGCCTGTCTTCAGCTTGGGGTTCCCAATGTCATCCCAATGAACAATTTGTTTCTATTTTTGTTTTAATCACATTATATATATATTTGTAT